CCTGGGAGTCAGTTCACAAGTGGATCTGCCAATTCAACACCTGGCCTTTTTTCCTGCTCCTGCTGGCATCCAAAATATTCCAGGCTTGTTCTAGGCAGCAGGGAACCTGCACTTGGTTCTTTAAAAGGTTTTTCTGTCCCAAGCAGCCCTTGGGATCAATGTGCACAATGGGCCATGGAGAAGTGATGCTCTGGAAAGAAGTCCTGAGTCCACTGGAGCTTCCAAGAGACCTTGAGCTGTTTATTCCTGGGTTCTGTTTGTAGCTGCTGCTTTTGCCAGGGATTTCTTGGAGAATTCCTCCATGACATGAGGCTGCCATGGGACAAAGCCTGGCCACTCTCACTGCACGTCCTGCAGCTGGGGAGTGTTTGGGGGAGCTCTGCCAGGGCTCCCAGGCACCCCCCTCTCCAAACCTTGTCTGAACTCCTTGCCTGGTGTTTGTTGTGTCTGTTGATTTGTGTCTGGTAGAGGAAACCAGAGTCACGGGAGTTCTCCAGACACTGGGTGGCTTTCAAAGGCAGCGAGTCTGTGCTGGTTTTATAGAAATGCTGTTGTTGTGTGGGTTTGTTTGCTTTTGCACAAATATTTAAGCATTGCTGAGTGACTGTGTCCTCTGTGGGCAGAGGGAAGGTGCCCTGGCTGAGGTGTCTGAGATCAGACATGTTTGCACCAGGGCTGGCTCTGTGAGTGATGCTCTGTGGGGTCCCGGGTCTCTGAACCCCTCTCTCTCCCATGCCAGGACTGCCCTAATGTTAGGCTGTGAATATGGCTGCAAGGATGCCGTGGAGGTGTTGCTCAGGAATGGTGCTGATGTTGGTTTGACTGATGGCCTTGGCCATGACTGTGCTTACTATGCCAGGATTGGGGACAATATTGACATTTTGGCTTTAATAAAAGCTGCCGTTGAGGACTCCAGCAGAGGTAGGAGGAACCTTCAGCCCCTCCCTTGGGGTGGGATTGTGTCCCTGCTCCTGTGGCTCCAGGGGCTGGTTGGGAGGGCAGCTGTGCTCCTGGGACCACAAAGGACCTGTCTGGGAGGGGAAGGGCAGCTTTGGGGTTGTGTGGTTTTAGCAAAGCTTTTAAGAGGGTCGCAGGCTGTGATGCCTGGAGGCCTTAACAGTATTGATCATGGGAGTTATTTACCCTTATTTATAGCAATAAATAGCCTTTATTTTATAGAAACCCTTGTGGATGTTTCTATGTTTGATTAGTTGGGGGTGTGGTGAGCTATTTTTTGAAATGCCCTCCTAGGGTGGAAGGGGGATGGAATTAGCTGAATGTGTCACGTTGTTGCATGAATCTGAACTAAATGCCTTTTGTAACTCCCTGTTTCTGTGGTGCTTTATTAGGAAGAGACAGCATCAAGAGAGGGCAGGCTGAGCAAAAGGTACTTGGTGAAGCCATGTGTCACTGAGGGCTTGAGGGGGGATCGTTTGTGGGGGGCTGAGGCCGGGGTGGCCCCTGTCCCAGTGGGAACTGGGGTGGCACAGGGATCTGAAGGAATGTTCTCCTGCTGCCCTGACAGGTCTGCAGCGTGTCCCAGAAGTGGGGCCGGGGCTATGGAGCACAGGAGG